CTTTGTACAGGGCCGTTAGTGGGTTAAGTGTCATTTTTCTTTTGCTTTGCGTTTGCTTTGGTTGTTGGGCTCTTTTGTGTATGTACTGGATGGGTCTGGGTTTATCTCTCTGGAAAGAGGTGTAGGTGGCTATCAAATCGTGTTAGATGGGGGTTATTGATTGGTTTTATAGAGCTGTATGTGAGTACTGACTGATCTATTCTCAACTGGTGGGGACCATGTATGCTTTATCTGCCTTGATCGGGATATCCGGACTTGATTGTCGCGGATGATCCGAGTGTGGGGTTCCATACTTGTACCTCTATGCATAGATAGAGGCTTGAGGATAAGATTGTGGATTGAAAGTACAAAAACAACTTTTTTTTGTATTTTTTAATGTTTTTTTAAGCTAATCGAAGGAGCATCATTCATCATTCATTCTGGACGCAGTCAAATACATATCCCTGATTAGGGTTAAGCACCGACGTGACCAGACAAGGTCATCACATATTCATTCCTTCATGGCATGAATCATTCGCCTGGCTGGTCTGTTATAGTGACAGACACAGAGCGACATTGTCCTTCCATCTTCTCAGCTTCACCCCCAATACTATTTATCTCCCCACATCTCTGCCCAAAGGCATTGTACTAACCCCACTCTCTTCCCCAGACGTGAACCTCCTCACAATGCAACTTCGCTATCATACGAAGTGAGTCCGGCACACTCGTAGCGGAGCCACGATCCGGATGTTTTTTTTTCTTGGTTTTTCTGTTTTGGGTATCAAAATGTTCTCTTCATAGTCCTGTTAAGGAGAGACTATCATGGCATAACAGCAACATGCCATATTGATTGACATTGCTTGACTGACGGAGTCAACCCATCTCCATAAAATTGACGAAGTAAAGATTCCACCAACTGCATGATTTACCGACGCACAACAATGCCCTGGCGACGAACACCTCGGCGGGCCCGGCGGTACTCCTCATCACTGTCAGACTCGGAACAGCTAGCCTCAGACGACTCGGTAACGTAGCCACAGCGACTACCACCGCAGTCAAGCTTGACGCGGTCGCCTTCCGGGTGATGCCGTAGCGCTCGCAGCGGCAGACGCTGGCTGGGTCACTCATGGAAGAAAGCGAGGAAGGCGAGGTGCTGCCAGAGGAACGAGAAGACCGAGAAGACAGGGACGACCCAACTGAGCTGGGTGGGCTGTTGGAGAGGGAGTACTCGTCTGACAGGCGGGATCCCGCAAAGCGCATGGTGAGGTCCTCCATGGTAGGAGCGAAGTCGGTCTCCCGGATTTGGCGGGAGGCGTAGGGCTTGGAGGGCTTGGGGTGGTGGATTTTGGATGGAGACGGAGCACGGCCCTTGACCACCTCATCAGAGGTTCGTCTGGGCTTCGAGGCGGAAGAGCTGGATTTCTTGCTACCTCCGGGAACATCGAGGATGTTCAGCTTGCGGCCGGTGGTTGGCTCAATAGTGTACTCAACGGCGGGATCATGGGAGACGTGGTATCCATCCATGATGTACTGAAAGAATTAGTACTTGCCAATAGTCACGAACGGGGAGGTTAAACCCACATAATACCAGTAGCGGCCGCCGAGCTTAAGCATGGAGGTCTGGAAGCGGAACTTGCCAACCCATGAACCGGGCTTGCCTTCATCCCTGGAGAGGGGGATCTGACGGGAGTAGTTGTCCCAGGAGCCAAGCAGGTGGACAGTCTTGACATTGGACGACGTCCGAAGAGTGAACTTGAGTTGCACAGCGGACATTTTGAATGATTGACGTAGTGAGACTAAAGATTAAATAATATTCACGGTGAATGTATAGATTATCGTATCGAAGTCAAAGATGAGAGCACTCTTCCACAGTATTAGATGCAGAAGATACAAGACTTGAGTCGAAAGACTACCAGAGCCGATTCAATCAAGTCCGTGTTGGTTTGTTGGTTGGTTGACTGCGGTATCCAACAGTAATGCTCGCGGATCCAGTCCACGACACGAAATTAGAAAAAGATAGTAAAAAGCCTCGGCGATAAATTGAACAAGGCTGAGCAAGGTTGTGAGCTGCTGAATGGAGACGTCGGCCAGCGACAAAGTTGGACTGTTAAAATTCAAGATGGGGATAATAATTGGGATTGGTGTATGAGAGAGCACAGCTCGTCTGTCAGGGGAATGTGAGTATGATTTTTGTGTTTTTTGATATCAAAGAGTTGAAATGGGCAAGTATAGAAAGGTGATTATTAAGGTATAGTAGAATGAATTGAACAAAACAACTAAACCAATGCAACCAGTGCACAGGTGTCTCCAAACAAAACTAAGGGCAGCTCCAAACAAGACCAGTCTTGCTGAAGAACAGAAAGAGAAGAGAAGAGAAGAAGGCGCAAGGCTTCCTGGCGGCTGCGGCATCTTTAAGGCAGTCTCTTTGGCAGCCTCAGGTCCTTCTTGTTGGATCTCGTCACACGGCATCCAACTGCTATTCTTGGAGGCGGTGGAGTCACGATGGTCAACCACCAATTGCTGGCCCTCTCGCTCATTTCCCCGCCCATGCTGGTGCCAGTCGGCGGGTAACTGGCCTGGTCCATTGGTCGACCAGCCATCCAACCACCATCCCGGACTTACCGCCTGTGAGTTCCATCACATCAACTTTTCTCGTCAATGCCGGTCGACGAACAGGATGTCGACGTTGGTTGCTTTCCTCCCTGCAGGATCGTGATAAGGTTTACCGGAAAATTTTTACTCAAGGAGGGGTCAATTCCATCATCCCCTCCAGCTGAGCAAGCGTCCTATCTATGCACTTGCAGATGGATCATCCTCATGTACACAATGGTCGAAAGAACCGGGGTCCCAGTAGATAGGGGCTGCATCTACAAGGATGGAAGCAACGGAAGGTTCCAAAAAAAATATTCTAAATTTTATTCTGATATGGTAAGCAACGAAAGACACAAAGACATGTTCGCTTCTCCAGAATCATCCCCAGCAGCAAGAAAAGGAAGTGTGTTTAAGTACCAAAACCATAAGAAGCATCCCTCGAATCCACGGTACGCCGGAAAAATGCCAAATCAATCTGTTTTCTTGGTGGACAACACAGAAAGCTTGAGAGGATAAGGATTAAAAATGTAGAGAAACACCGCGTAAGACGATATCGTAACAGAAAAGAAAGCCGATTGTACAGATGCATGGATGATGGGCTCCTCACCGTGGCCCCTCACCGCACGGACACACCGGAACGGTTGGTGAACATGCGGGCGGCAATGTTCATTGAGGCCAGCTCTTGGAACAGAAGCTTGGCGGCATATGGGATATGCACTTGTGAGATCCTGTGCTTGTTGTTGCACAGTCGACACTCAAAAAGTCCCTTCTTCAGTTTACTACATCGAAGAGGTCATTGTTAGTCCAATTGCAGATGAAAGAAAACTATCCGGGGGGGGGGGGGGGGGGGGAGAAAGATCACTTACGCGACTGGCGTCATTAACCCGCAGTCATCGCAGATGTGGACGCGGAACGGGTCAGAAACGTCAAAGAGACGTTCCTTTAGGAAGGCACTTGCTCCATGGGCGATCATACAATCACGTTCCATCTCTCCGAATCTGAGACCACCATCACGGGCACGACCTTCCACGGGTTGTCTAGTCAAGATCTGAGTCGGTCCACGGGCACGGGCATGGATCTTGTCATCGACCATGTGGCGCAGACGTTGGTAGTACGTAGGTCCCAAGAACACCTGTGCCACTAGCTTCCGGCCGGTATGGCCGTTGTACATTACCTCAAACCCCCGAGACTGGTAGCCGTGCTCGCGAAGTAGACGAGAGACAGAATCGACAGTAACATCGGTAAAGGGTGTCGCATCACCCTCAAAGCCACGCAGGGCTGACACTTTACTAAGCTGGCACTCGATCAAGTGAGCGATGGTCATACGCGAGGGAATGGCGTGAGGGTTGATGACTAAATCAGGCGAAACACCTTCCCGAGAGAAAGGCATGTCTTCTTGACGGTAGGTAATACCAATAGTACCCTTCTGTCCGTGACGCGAAGCGAATTTGTCTCCAATTTGAGGGATTTTGGTAGTCCGCATACGGACCTTGACGAACTTCAGATCATCATTGCTGGTGGACACCAGAACCTGGTCCACTATACCGCTCTCAGTACTCCTAAGAGGTGTAGAGACATCCAGCTTGGTATGGGCTTTGGTTCTCTGGCCGAGCTCTTCCGCATCGGGAGCCAGAGGGGCCGTCTTACCAATGATGATATCCTCACCAGAGACACGTACACCAGGAGCAATGATACCATCCTCGTCCAGTTTATCATAAGTGCCCTTTCTCATGCCAATCGTATCCTGTCGCATTGGCTTCTCAAAGCGTTCAACAACCGTCAAACCAACCATCTTCTCGCTGTCTGTGTACGTACGGTAGAAAAGACTGCGGAAAAGACCACGATCAATGCTGCTTTGGTTCATAACAACCGAATCTTCCTGGTTGTAACCAGAATAGCAAGCAATAGCAACGATGGCATTTTGACCAGCTGGCAATTCACGGAATCGCAGGAACTCCATTGACCGTGTTGTCGCTAGTGGCTTCTGAGGGTAGTAGAGAATATTCGCCATCGTCTCCATTCGCTGGTCGAAGTTTGTCAAGAACACACCCATAGCTTGCTTACCCATAGCAGATTGGTATGTGTTACGGGGCGACTGATTGTGATCAGGGAATGGAATGATACTAGCACAAACACCGAGAATCATACTAGGATGAATCTCACAGTGGGTCCAAGTATGTGCCTTCTGGCTCAGTATAGAACGGACACGCTTGTTAGGATCGAGCTCTTCTTCAGGAAGGGCGTAACCAGCCTGAAGCTGTTTGGAAATCTCCAGGTCTTCCGGTGTCATGACAATCATGATCGTCTCTTCTTCTTCGGCGTCAACATACTCTACAACACCAGATCTCACTAACCCATCCCATCCAAAGTAACGTTCTCTACGATCTTCAGGGTCGAGGTCGGGTGGTAATTCTTTGTCTTGTTCCAACTTGCGGATGTGCTCCTTGTTCAAGACCAGACCGCCACAGTTTTCGCTCTTCGGATCATTGTCAATGACGAATAACGGCCTGCAAACACGTCCAGCATCGGTGAAGATCTTGAACTCCCGCTCGCGGATATCGCGAATCAAACTGACCTCGTGAGAGATCATATTTCGTCGCCGCAGCGACTGCATTGTGTTGACAAGATGAGCAGGATCTCTGTGAATACCGACCCACACTCCATTCACGAAGACCTTTGTTGCATTGGGTGTCACTTGAGGCTCAAACTCCTCGAGAACTTCCATGTTACGCTGAATCATAAAGTCAATGATAGGTTCGCTGGGTGTACCAACAGTGACATAACACATGAGGGCCAAGTTCTTGACCAGACCACAAGCCTGACCTTCAGGAGTCTCTGCTGGACAGACCAACCCCCAATGGGTATTGTGAAGCTGGCGAGGTTTAGCAATTTTACCATCACGACCTATAGGCGTGTTGGTTCGGCGAAGATGTGACAAAGTAGAAGCGTAAGTATAACGACTGAGCACTTGTGACACACCAGCTTAGCGCTTGCGGCCTTCTTCTGTTCACCCCAGTTACCAGTAGCAAGAGCGTACTTCAAGCCACCGGTCAGTGTGCTGGCCTTGATACCAATATTGAGGTAAATCTCTCTGTTGGTCTCAACACATCTCTGGACATAACGCTGGAGATCACGAGTAACTCGCGTAAACAGAACACGGAAGAGGTTCGCCAGAAGGGGGCCTGCAAGATCGAGACGCTTCTTTCCGAAGTGATCACGGTCATCAACATCCCGGCGGCCTAGAGCACATTGCAGAAGTCTGTGCACCATATAACCCAAGAAGAATGCCTTCCTAGTCTCACTACCTTCACTCTGTGAGATATGAGGAAGCAACTCCTTTTGCATGATTTCACGCGCGTATCTCACACGACGCTCATGATTCATGCTTGATTGGGAAGAGCCACGCTTAGCAATGAAATCCAAAGCAACTTCACGATCTTGAATGACGAAGCCCTCTTCAATACAAGGCTTGAGCATTTCCAGCATAGGAATGTCGTTACGGTCGTAGCAAATGTGGTTAAGAATGTCCTCATCAGAGACCACACCGAGCGCTCTGAAAACGACGACGATCGGAATGTCCGTCTTCACATAGGGCAATGTGGACCTGATAGTAGGGCCGAAGCCACCCTTTGCACTATCACCCTTAGCGAACAACTTAAGGGACAGTTGGGAAAGGAGTCGAGATCCTTTCTCGACGGCACTTCGAATTTCGGCCACATAAGGTGTGGGACTCGGAGGTGCTTTTTTGAAAACCTGGACCGTGTTACCTGCACTTCGCTCCTGGGCAATCAAAACCTTTTCGCTTCCGTTGATGATGAAATAACCACCAGAGTCATAAGGGCATTCATTCCAGTTATATAGAGCCTGCTCACTCAGATCCTTCAGAATACAATACTTGGACTTGAGCATAATAGGCACTTTTCCGATGAAAACGGTTTCCTCTTTGGCTTGATCGGCCGGCAGCTCCTTCTGCTCCCACTGGAGGTATGTGCCACGAGCCTTTCTGTCTTCATCCTCCTCTATCTCCTCATCGTCACGATCAGCAACCGATCGCTCTCTACCTTCCATAATTCGCTTTGTGATGCCGAGGTAGAGGGGACTAGCGTAGGTAAGGTTTCGCAGACGAGCTTCCTGGGGCAACATGATAGTGGTGGCACCATCACCCTCAGTGACCGAGGGGCGAGAAAGCATAACTGTTCCGAACTTGAGCTCATAGCGACGGACAACAACGGGATCGACTTCATCTTCGTCAGGCGGAAGTGTCTGGTCGAGTGTTACTTGGCCTTGTTCCTCCACAAGTTCTTGCATTGTCGATGAAATGAATTCATCGAAAGAATCCAGCTGCTGCGAGACTAGACCCTTCGTATCGAAGAAAGACGAGATGACAGTCCAGCAATCCTCCGAAGTGATCCCCTCCTCCATATCATCGTAAAACTCATCCTCGTAGGCATCATCGTAGTCCGCCATTTTGACGAGGTTCTGCCACCAATACTACCCGGATAAAGAATCGATCAGTGGGCGCAAACAGCGCGACGCGCTTGAATAAAAGATCCCGCGCACAGGCTGTCTTGCTGCTGAAAGGAGCAGTGACACCTGGGAAGGCGTTGTCGAAAAGAGACGCTGGGGAAAAGCCAGTGAGCTGGGAATCTCAGGTGGATGAAAAGTGAGAGATCCCAGACAAACTGTGATGGGGATGAATGGCGCAGTGCTGGGCTTCACCTCCGGACTCTGATGGATCTTGAGCAGAGCCGCCACTAGCCTCGACCGCGGTCTTGGCGCTATCAGCTGACTAACGTGGAAGTCGATAATATACCACGTGACATGCAGTTCACGCCTGAGGCACTAGTAGACTTTACCCTGATAAAGATGGAATTGATGAATGGTATTGACTATAATACATAGGCCCATAGATCTCCTACTGCTAGCAAGTTTGTTTATACGAACTGTAAAAGAGTCTCAAGCATTTCCTTATGATCTCTCTGTCCGGGATCATCGTCCGAAAGCCCTTCAATTTGTTCTAACACGGGGTCAGTACAATACTAAAGGAAAGCAAGGACTAAACTTACCTTTCAATGTGCCCTGGATCAGAGAAAGGCCTTCGTCGCGGTCCGCCAAAAGGGACATGATCTTCTTTTTAGCGCCATCATCTTCTGCCACAAGCCACGCCAGCATTACATCGATGAGCTTTGGGATTCATGTCAGTTATCGGAGTGACCTTCACAAAGAGATAGCGACAAACCTGGAGGGAGAATAGACCAGCATCAAATCGCCGAGAGAGCCATTCCACTGCCATCACCTCTCGTTCCTCTTCAGTGAAATTCTTCCGTTCTTTCTCGATAGCTTGTTCAACTGGCGTTACCCTCGACGCATAATCGCGCCTCAGCTTTACTAACTTCTCAATCTTCTCATAATCTTTCTCCATGAATTTAGCAAGAGTACGGATACGGGCTGCTGAACCTCCCGGTAGGAGACGCAGAAGCGAAGCAAAGATACCCAATAAATGCTCTATCGTTTGATTTTCTTGCTGTGCGAGGTCAGCTTCAAGCCCATGATCCAGAAAGCTAGAAACCCTACCTTCTTCATGAACATCCCAAACACTGTTCTCAAGCATGCTGCTTCGACAAACCTTTCGCACGCGGGCCTGCCACCCATGCCACCCAGGGCATGATCTAAGACCCGCAAAGCGCGCGGTTTACTGAACTTTCCTTCCTTCAACATGATTTGTGCAAGTTCAATACCTTCGCCCTCAATAAACTTTTCCTTTCCGGAGTCTTCATCGACGAGACAGATCAAGCAGTCGAACAGGTTCTCCACGAATTCTTCCTCGTCTGAATCCTTTGCAGGATCGCGCTTACGGTATTGGCTGAGCAGTTGAAGAAGGATATCGACGCCCTCGAGACCAATAAATTTGTTTCGCGTCCTGGAAGACGACTGCAATAGGATGGCTAATATTTCAGCTGCGTATTGCTGGTTTTGGCTTACCGGTCTTTCCTTCTTCTGTATGCGAGTCAGGAGCCATGGAAGCAAATTTGAATCATCGCCTAGCTTCTCTGCATGTGAAGTTTGGGACGCAAGGTTCTCTAAAACACCTTTGAACGAATTAGTTTCGTTTTTATGCCTCAGTCTAGGAACAGGGCCAACTCACTCAGTACATAGTAAACCCCTGCTCTGTCGACATCAGACTCTTCGTCCAACCGTGACAAGTTCTGGGCTAATAGTTCGATAAGGTCGGCATCCAACTAGGGATATCAGCATTATACGGCAAATCATGGATTCGGCAACGTACCATTGCATTTACCAATGTGTCCCATTGTTCTTGCTCGGCTTCAACATCTTCGTCGGTTAACTCGCCGATGATTTGGATCGCATCAATGGCAATATCTGCGTTCTCGTGCGAGAGTAAAGAGATCAGAGAGCCTACGCAGCCCAACTCTGAAAACTCCATGTATAATTCGGGGTGCTCTGAGAGAATAGATAGTCCCTTTATTTCGTTGTCTAGATCAGCTTCCGAGGCCATGAACCTGGACATAAAGTTAGCACCCTGGAATGATGAAGCGCAAATGCATCGCATACTTTTGTGGATCGTTTTCATATTTTCCGCGCAACTCGGCATTCTTCGATATCTTTTTTTCGAAATTGAGAGCAAATCGTCGCAGCCATGCGGCATCGAATTTCTCGGGCTAAGCCAGAGTCTCAGCATCCAAGGAGTGTAGCTCTACAAGCTTGGCTGTACCTACCGCAACACCCCCTTCTTCCTGCTGGTCAATATAATGCATCGCCTGAGCCGTCTGGCGCTCCATGCCGCCTCCGAAAAAGCGCCCTTCCTCATCGTCTGGGATATCCTCGGCTTCGAAGTCTGGAGGTAGCTCTGGACCGGCTTCACCATCATCTTCGTTCTCGTCTTCAACCATTGGCTCCTTTCCCTTGGATTTCACATCGCCGTTCGCATCTAGTTTGGCAGCCTTGTAGAGTTCATCTTTGTGTCGAAGGTCAGTAAGCGGCGAAGGAACAAGTAGAAGGCCAGAGTGTACTTGGATCTGTGGTAGCGTCCAGTTTACGCTTGGCGCTGGCTGCTGAAGTGGGTTTCTTACTTCGTCAGCACTAATGAGTCTGATATGGATTATAGATATCTTACCTTGAAAAGCTCATCTATGCTGGTCATTGTTGCGGCTTGTGTAGGAGGGGCGCTCTTAGAAGAAACCCTCGTAGCCTACCAGCCAAGCCTGACGCCAAAATAGTCTGGAACAGGTAATTCAGATATGCTTCAAGATAGGCCTGATAACTGAAATATATATTCTCTAAATCGCGCCCAGGAATTTGTACTCATCACTTGGTCGCGTAGCTGCTCCGATAATATTACGGGCGGCGTGATAAGCTAACAACGCAACCGCCAAGCGCCGAAAGATTTCTCGGAGCGCATCGATTTACTTTCATTCCGCAGTCTCAATACCATTACTCCAGCTTTGCCTCTCTACGCAGACATCACACCCGGAGAATTACTTCTCTTTTGAATAACACCTTCGCTCTTCACATCTTCACAATGGCTCCCAGACAACGCGTCGTCTCTGCCCACCAGGAAAAGAGCTTTTTGGGTGCCGCCTACGATGAAGTCACTCATCCTGAGAACGCCACCATCGTGAGAAGTGTTCTTGTCTTCGGCGTAAGTTAACGATTGTGCAATGTTTTCGTCTTTATTCGATTTGCATTCTGATTGTCCTTTTACCACAGGCCGGTGTCGCTTTCCTTTACAGCTCTCTCAGCGAACTCCTGCTCCCTCCGTAAGTCGACACTCTTTTCCCCTGATGATTTGGCGATAATCTCAGTTCTTTCCCGTATTCACAAAAGCTGATGAGAGTTTTAGTCTGTGAACGGAGCATCCGAATGCATCCGTGGCTCGCAACCATTATTGGGATATAACTTCGTTGGGAGTCAGGCGATTTGTTGAGGTCGATTCGGAATAGACTCGAACTTGCTATTATTTTTCCTTGGTTTTAAGTAATGGATACCTGTACTATACTGCATGGATTGTGCTTTTGTGGGCATATATGCTTTTGGATGGACTCGTGTGGCGTACATCATCATCTCCGATATGTCTGAAAAGAACATGATAACCCAATACGACATGACATCCTTTCGAGTTTGATTCAAACTCTTGTGGAAAAGACTTCTCTTCGAATGCTGCGTCCAAGTATGATTAATGTGGTCGAGACCCAATTGGATCTCAAAGATGAGCTAATCCAATACAAAGACCAGTCATGTGGGTACAGAATAGAACATCTACAGCTGTCAGGGAAACTCCAGTTATGTGGGTTTAAGAACAGAGGGGTTTGAAGGACTCTATTTATAAACAGGTAAATCAAGAAAACGCCGCAGTGCTCTAACAAGGCACCGAGTGACGTTCAGAATAATCAAACCAAAGTATTAGTATTTGATACCTCAGGCACTTCTGCACGTACATGTCACATGTACATACTACAAATACTCCGTACCCGATATAAAGAATAACGGCCAGACTAATACCAGAGCACGCTCCCATTCTTCCATCCTTCGGGACACGGCATGTCAATGCCAGTGCTTGGAAGCCAACGCCTCGGGTTCACTGATTTGACCATCCGCCAATGAGGCCACACGGTGTCTGGCCACTTAAATCTTCCCAATATCAAGATAGCGGGGGAAAACCCGCAGCTACCCCACACGGGGAACCTCCGGAACACCGCCCTCAACTGCCGGGGAGATCGCTAGCGAATTCCATTCCATGTTTAGGATTGTGCGAATACAACTCCGGCTGAGTCCATGGCGGAATATTCTTGATGTCGGTTCTCTTTCTTGCACAGCTGCCATAGCAGCTTATCTACAAAATTACTTTCATCATGATGACCACGAAGCGCACGGCGTCAGACGCAGACATACATTACGGCGAGCATGTGGCCAAACGAAACTCGCTGGGGTACGATGCGCGTACGCCCTGGCTACAAGACTCTAAATCGCCTCCGACATGGCGGACTCTAGGAAACCGGGCGGTTCGGCCGTCTCTGCCTCTCGAAAACATGGTGGCTGCGGTGCAGGATCTGATAGACCCAGATTTTGACCCTCTTATTGCCATTCTCGATGAAGAGCCACGTTTTCTAAAGCCACTTCCTTCTCACATATCCCCGGAAGACCTAGAGTTTCTACGTTTCCGTGGAGCCCTCTCGATCCCAGAAAGCGGGTTGCGCAATGAGTTACTACGATGCTACATCAAATGGGTACATAGCTTTATGCCAGTGTTGAACTTGCAGGATTTCCTGAGGTGTGTGGCGGAGAACGATCCAAACGGTAACATTAGCCTCCTGCTATTTCAGGCGGTGATGTTTGTGGCAACGGCCTTTGTGGATCTTAAGCACTTGCAAGATGCTGGGTATGCTACTAGAAAGATTGCGCGGAGCGCGTTCTACACGCGACTAAGAGCAAGTACAGCAGAACATATATTTACTCTCTAGTGCTAACTGAGGAGCAGCTTCTTTATTCCCTAGATTGCGAAGAAGACCGAATAGTCATCTTGCAGACCCTACTATTAATGACATACTGGACCGATCATGTAAACCATCCACAGAGAGACATATGGGACTGGATTGGGGTCTGCAATACCCAAGCTCATTCAATCGGATTAAACCGCGACCCTACCACATCCCCCACAATGGACCTCAAAACCAAAAGATTAAGGATACGTCTGTGGTGGAGCTTATATTCCCGGGACCGTCTCATCTCCTTGGGCATGAGACGCCCTACGCAAGTCAACGAAGGAACCAGCAACGTCCCAATGTTGAGACTCGACGATTTTGAATACGAATCTTTTCACCCATCTGCCATTAATATGTTCCGTTGTCGCCAACTGGAGGACCTATCCCATCAGAAGCGTCTGGCGACCATGTTCATGGAGAAAACTAAACTTTGTCAATGCATCGGTCGCGTGCTCTTCGCCCAGTACTCTCCGTCGCAGCGCCTGTTTGGCATAACTAACCGGACCACTATTACTTTAGCCCCCAGGCAAGCCTCAGAATCGGAGTTGGCCCGATGCAGTCAACGGCTTGACTCGTGGGCTAATTCCCTCCCAAAGGATGCACAATTCATCCCTGCTTCGAAAACGAATTTTAACGATGGAGAAGATGTCTTACTTCTCCATGGTGCCATGGTAAGAATGCTGTATCATGCTACCATAAGTGCCTTATATCGACCATGGGCGTACGGGTCCAACAAGGGCCAGAGTAAGTCACGCATCGAGTTGACCAATACCGCTCGGTCAAAGATGCACGATGCAGCTATAGGGATTACACAAATCATCCAAGGCCTGAACCAGCTGAACCTCACTCAATTTTTGCCCCAGTCTGGCGTGACAGTCATCATACCTGCTACTGTGCTACACTTGGCTAACTCCATGTCTGATAATCCTACGGTGCGAGAAGCCAGCATACGTAACTTCCACCGGTGTGTCCAGGTTTTGCAGGGATTGAAAGAGCTATATCCAGCTGCAGATATGGAAGTTGCCAACATCGAAGCCGCCGTTAGAGTCCAGTCAGACAGCGCGAGTACATTACTCAAAATCATGCAATCCAACAGTATCAATCTAAGCCAGCCACAACCCGCCGAGCCATATCGGAGGGGGAGCGATGTTGCCACTATACAGACATTATCCCCAACTGAAGACCAAACACCAGAGCATTGGGTCCCACCAACAGAGACGGACACCGTGAATAAGCCACACAACCCTGGTCCAGAGCCCCCCAAGCCCAGCCCCGTCGACCAAAGGTCGAAGCGGAACAGCACTGCAATCAGTACAGCAGCCAACAATACTAGTACCTCCCCATCTAAGGCTAAGCAAGATTACCTTACGCCTACAAACGACTTTGACGATCACTTCAGCTCCGCCTTCAACACTCATTCTCCTCTGCCTGACTCATTCAATCCGTCAAACTTTCTCGATATAGACTCAAACAACACTGAATTCCCACTCTTCCAGTCCTCCAGCCATCCGGATATTGATATCGACTGGGCAGAGGACTTCTTACGAGGAGCAGATTTCAAGATTGACTTTTCTAGCTCCGTGCTAGAGGATCACAGCAGAGATTTCTTCACGTTCTCAGATAAACAGGTAGAAAACTCAAATGCTCCTAGGAAAGAAGAGATCACGGGTGATTTGGACAAAGACCTGGGGCTTAACTCTGGTGACGAGATGTTTTAGGATGAAGAGTGTGTTTATATTATTTCTTATACATATAACTGTCCAGCTTTGCAAAGTCTCATCATGCTGTTCTCATATAGTCGTGATTATTCATCTGTGATACCCTGTCTTCAATGCAGAAGCGAGCGATGCATCTAATTCATTCAGCACAAAATCCACCCAACCAAGATAAAAATTCCTGTTCCCTTTTAACTTGAGTTCATAATTGTATAACAGCCCTCCGTCTAGGTAGAGTATCTCTATGGAAAAGACATTATAGCTAGTGACCATCCTCTATTCGGCACTCCAGTCTTAGCGTCTAGGCGACTAGCGCTTGGACCAACGGTTGCTCTCGTCGCCTTCTTCCCATTCATGTTCGACATAGCCGAGCTTCTTCTTCACTTCCTGGACTTTCTGTTTGTCTCCCGTATTCTTGCCCATGTTGTCACTGAGCTTGACAGCCGGGCGACCATTTGCTGTAGAGATCTTGATGACAATATTGAGCGGCTTGGACTTTTCATCATTTGATTTATTCGTAAAGTCGTCTGTTTACATTTAGCCCAGTGCTTGGAGAGTATGCCCAAGATTAGTACTTACTGGTAAAGAATGTGCCAACACCAAAGACAGGCTGGAATCCAGCTTCCTCCGCAATAACCTTATACTCAAGACAATGCTCGATGTTGAGAGAGTCAGAGAATACCATGGTCTTCTTGTCTGTGACGCCTTCCTTGTCGTAGAAGTCCCGCACCATCTTCACGAAGTATACAGGATCGCCGGAGTCCTGACGCACACCGGTATAGGCTTGAGCATATGTTTCTTTGGAGATCTGAGCTCCACCGTCATGAAGTGGTGCGGTGATCGGGGCGTTGGTGTCCGCCTCGCTTTGAACTGTCGACTCGCTAGTTGTGGCAGGTCCAGATGCCGATGTGCTGACTGCACCAACTCCTGCGGAGGTAAATGCAGGAATCGGCTTCCGGAATGCATCGAGAAAGGCGGGGGTACCGAATGTGTCCGTCAAGGCGATACCCAGAACCTTGTCAAGGTTAGTAGTCTCTTGCAAATATCACAGGTGATTGAACGTACTCCTTTTCCAAAACAGCCAAGCCAGTACCGCAGGGCCAACTCGTTGGCATTCTCGTAATCATCCGTAAAGGCAGCAATGGTCATGTACCATTCATGCGCCACCGTGCCGACAGGGTCAACACCATATTTCATAGCAAAGTGAACATTGCTTGACCCTGTGAATTTACCCTTCCACCCTTGTCTTTTTCCCTCTTCAGCAGCCTTCATCAGCCCAGTCATCACCAGGTCATGAGTATGGTAATCACGGCGTCGTCTCGATCCGAACTCGGAGAAGATGCAACCATTCTCAAGCAGCGTACATCCTTTCCGGTATGCCTTCTCCTCTTGGCAACTATAATCCCAGTCCTTATCGCTGAACATAAAGTACGCCTCGCTCGTCAACGCTAACAGCGGGATCTCGTACAGAATCGTGTCAACCCAGAGACCCTTGACCAAATACTCGACATCACCCGTGTCACTATCACTGCCAGTATCATTCACGGGTGAAAACTTGATTTCGATCTGTTCTGAAGGCTTGAGCTTGAACGTGGTCAGGAAATCCAGGTAAGCATCGTTGAAGTATGGACATCGAGCCCTCAAGAATTTAATCTCTTCTTCCGTGATTCGAATGTTCGCAAGTCCTACCAGAAAGTAGGGTTACCTCAACGCTCGCGCAATCATCCATAAGGCCATACATACTGTCCATTTGCTTCAGAAGCCATTTGTGGGCCCCGCGCGTTAACTTCATGTGTGGAGTACGGTTCGTGAACCCATACGTCACGTCTATGTAGCACAACTCGTCAGGGCATTCAACCACACCATATAAGAACCGAGATATACTCACGAACATCAGGGAAGTACTTCAGAACGGCACATTGCATTGTCAACTTGTACAAATCAGTATCAAGAAGAGAGCAAATGCCCTCCGGAATTGGAGGGGAACTTTCTTGGCCCATTACGGCTTGTTTCCGAAGCCCCTATAGAGTGCTAGTTGCGGTAGCTAGAAATACCCGGTGGATGTAATGCGCGCAATGCATTCAATAGGGTACAGTCCCCAGTCGAAGGAAGGCAATTATGTAGTAGGGAGGTTTCTCAGCGGCACTGAAAACAGTCATATTCACATTGCTGCGGGGAACTACAAAAAAAGATGTTTGTACTGTTTGCATTGTATAGTTCGTCATGCTGCAGGGGACGTCATTTTGAGTTGCAGTTGATTGGTATTACTGGACTACTGGTATTGCACTGCGAGTCAATCTCTCGTCAAACAAGGTATTAGTGATAGCGTGTGGTTGTGCCGATATGCCGGCTCATAGTAGAGGATACTAAACCGGCCATAGGAAATACCGAGATATCCTGTAAAGAGGTCTCCAATCTTCATAGTAAGCATTAGAAACTTTATCCAAGCAGTTCAGTATATACACTTGAAGAAGTAGGTCATATATCACTGAAGATTATACATCAAAGTGCGTTGTGATAAAAATACATCGTCATCATCAATTATCGCCGGTTGTTGCCTTATTTGTTAGGCTGTAGATACCCCACCCAGGTTGAAAAGGGAATTGTGGCTAATGCTCACATAAATGTGGCTGTGCATGATTTGTTTTCAGGCACATCCGGAGTCACATTATTCCAGTCGAGACAGTCCCCGTCGCAGGCACCTTATCCATTATCAGCCAACGACTCTCCACGTTTGGTCACGCGTTCTGCCAGCTGCAATTACGACCGGTACTCGCTCGTGTCCCTACTTTATACAAGTCAACGAATCTTTCGCTCTTAAGGCTAACTACACCAGAAACTCTGGCTAGCCCGAACTACTGCAACATCAGTGGCGCAGATTAATCAAGGTCGCTTGAAAACTACACCGACATGGCGCACGGCGCTGAGGACTGCGCATCCGTGCTAGAGCAATTCGTTCATGATGTTGCGAATCTGCCAGCGGAAATTAACCACTTGATGGAAGAGATTCAGGCCAAAGACAAAATCATCCAGGAATGTCGCACTACGATCAATTCGAGAGACAGTAGCTTACAAAAATTCATCAAAATGAATGGCAGTCTGACGCCGAATCCCAAAGAAGAGCAGTATGGAAAAGTCATATTACAGAATCTTGACAAGTCGCAACAACTACAGGATGAGAAGATACAATTGAGTGAGAAAGCGTGCGTTTTGTTAGACCGGCAAATCAAGAAATTGGACATCAAAATTCGTGACTTGCAGAATGACGGTGTTCTTTCCAACGACCCTCCCTTGCCCTCTCTCTTCAACAACAGCGACCAGTACCGAGACCTCCCAAAGATCTTTTTTCCTGACTCCGCCTCCGACTCTAACGCCTACAACACTCCCCTACATCCTACGTCTGGAAACGCCAACGTTATAATAGCCGCCACTCAGAGACTTAACCAATCTCTGGCTCGATCAGCAGGCGTAGCTGCCCTTGGCTCTCCGACTGCAGCGCGAAGCTCAGCTCCCGCAACTCCCGCTGGTGGCACAGCTCATTTTCACCAACGACAACGCGAATCATCAGCCGGCGCCGTAGAGAACAAACGACGGCGGCTAAACCCTTCACTAGGAACGCTACCAGCAGCATCGTCGAATCTCCGCCAATCCTCCTTAGGCCCCGGCACACCCAAGGGAGGTACACCAGCTTCTAGTCGTGCTGGTAGTGCAGGGCCACGCTCATCAAGCACAACTAAAAAGGCCTTGACAAAGAAGGTTGCGCCTCATCAACAATTGAAAAAGATTAAGGCATCATCTGGACTGAATGGCAAATCAACTAAACGGTCGTCCAGTGCTAGTGGCCGTATTAAGCTTACCACGAAGAAATCGCCTTCCGCCCCCGGCGGTGATGAAGACGAGGATGATTCGATGCTCAGTAGCGCTGATATCTCAGATTCCGAGAACAACAGCGATGCTCGGCGTGGGGATGACGACATGGAAGAAGAGGAAGAAGATGAGGGCAACGAAGATACCAAGGTCTATTGTACTTGCCGCAGTGTCAGCCATGGTGACATGGTTGCTTGCGATAACGAAAATTGCGAGTTCGAGTGGTTCCACTGGAAGTGCGTCGGTTTGACCAGGGAGCCTGTAGGCACGTGGTTTTGTCCTCAGTGTGCAGCCAAGTTAAATAGTTGACCATACCCTCCAATTTATCTTGATGATTAGCCTCTAATGCTTCCTTAGATTGAATGTTATTCCACTCCATTGAGCAATTCGATAGCTCTCGTAGATTTTTAGCCTCTCACCGTTTCATAAGGTACAAAGATTAGGCCACGCAATGAAGCAAACCAATAGCTTCTGTAAGAACCAAACCATCCGTATCCCGATTGCACTTTTAGGCCGTAAATTCCCCGCAAGAGAAGATGAGGCCTCGACCATAGCCAATCCCAAGATTCGTGAAACGCCATCGCTATGCAAGCAAACATGACTGGCGCCGTTGCGCTCATTGTACATAATAAAAATAAAATAACAAGAGGACCTAGGGTCAACGAAGACCTAAAACCCTAGAGCCTTTTCCAGCCAAGGGTCAAAGTATTCGCAGCTCTCTGGGCTCACGGCTCCTCCAGGGGCACAAAGCTTAAACACTGGGCAGGTACCGCAAGGTGCCTCTGTCATGCCGTTCGTTACCAGCCGGTCGTCGATTCCCTTATCCTCACCTGCGGGCTTGCGCGCTTGCGACTGTTTAACAGCTTCTGGGTTCTTGACCGACTTATACATCTCCCCGTTGTTCAAGGCCACCAGCTTACCGTCGTAGCAGAGCATATCAAGAAGTTGTGTTATACTTTCTTCACCCAGACGAACAGGAGTAATTCCACTCTCATTAACTGCACCTGTGAGCATCGACACGGTTGGATAGCCACGGTAGCCGGCTGGAAAAGGAATAAATGTTTTCTGTCCAGCCTCTTGTTTGACGGACGCGCTACCATCGCTAGTTTTCATGCGCTTGGTTCGGTGCGCATCCA